CCTTGGATCCAAATCTCACCGACGGCGTTGTCCTTGAGCTGCACATGCGTCTCGGGGTCGACAACGATGACCTTAAAGGTCGGCATGGCAATACCACAGCCGACAAGCGTGCACGTATCGACAGGGTGGTAGCCCTTGGGTGCGTCCACAGCCTTCTTGCGTTGTTCGAGATCGCTCTTCTTAAGGACGAGGACAGTCGGGTCCTGGAGCTTGTACGGGTCTTGGCCCGTCACAACGAGCGTCACCTCGGCGAGGCCGTAGCCGCAGTTGAACGTTTTGGGGTTGAAGCCCGCGGGACCAAAGGTCTCGGTGAATGCGTTGAGCGACTCGATGCGAATGGGCTCGGCTGCACAAATACACTGACGCAAGTGGCGAAGGTCGAGCTTGGCGACCTGCGCCTTGGACGTCTTGCGGGCCACGAGTGCATAGCCAAAGTTTGGGGCGCACACGTGCGTGCCCTTGTACTGCGACGCCACACGCATCCAGAGCGCAGGGTCCTTGATGAACGCCAGCGGCGACATTGAGATACACCGAGCACCTGGACAAGTGCAAAGTGAGAAAGGCCAAGTGCAAAGTGGGATTGAAGTGCATACCAGTCGAACACGGCACGAGGATGAAGCCGACGAGGCCCATGTCGTGGTACGACGGCAGCCAAGACACCATCGTGTCGTCTTCGCGGATCGACGCCCACGTCTTAAGCTGCGCGTGGATGTTGCCGTGCGAGATCATGACGGCCTTGGGCTCGGACGTCGAGCCGGACGAGTACTGGAAGAACGCAATGTCGTCAAAGGTACACTCGACCGGCGTGTAGCTACAAGCGCAGCGTCAGCACCTCAAAAGCAAACGCAGTAAGTACTTGTCGGCCATCGCCGATGCAATCGCGTCGGTCGAAAACCACTGAATGTCCTTGGGCCACGTGACCGAGCTCGAGAAGAAGCTCTTGGCGGTCGCGAGCTGCGTCGCCATGTAATACGTGCGGTTGGTCAAGATGACCTTGGCGCCCGAATCGTCGACCATGCGGTTAAACTTGGGGAGGTCCTTGGCGAGCGTGCCCGGGTACGGCGGGTAGACGGGAATGCCGATCGCACCGGCGTAGAGGCAACCCCAAAAGCCCATGGCAAAGTCGAGGCCCGGAGGATACGCGAGCATGACACGGTCGCCCTTCTTCAAACCTAGCTCCACCTTGAACCATTGTCAAAGCATCGATAGGCATACCTGCATCTTGCTGCAAAGTGGCGGCCACGCGGCGGGCAGCACGGTCGACGTCCGCAAACGTGAGGTTGACGCTCTCCTTCCCGGCGTCGTCGAGGAAGGTGTAGACAACCTTGTCGGGCGTCTCGAGGGCGCGGCGTTTGAGGATGTCCACGATGGCTTCGTTCTCGACCTTGGTCTTGGCCCGACGCGCCTTGGTCTTGCGCGTCTTGCTCGACGGCGTCGTCACGACCTTCTCCTCGTCGTCGGCCCAGAGCGAATCGACGGACGACTCGAGCGCCTTGGACGACGATGGCTGCAGCATGTTGAGGAGCATCGTAAGGAACGCGACAAGCGCGAGCTTGATCGTGTCGACAATCAACGTCGGCTTGACCATCCTACTGTGAGTACTCGTAGCGGCGGTGCAACTTGGGAATTGACTGCCGTGTCTTTTTCGGCGCGGGTTTCGTCCGCGGATAAGCTCTGGGAGGCTGCCAGGTGGCGGCGGGGCGACCTAGATTGCGCACGAAACTTTAAAATAGCTGAGCGTTTGTATGAAATGATATGCGAGCAAGAGGTGCGTCACCGCGCCGGTGTCAACTCGACAGGGTCGAGATAAGTTCCTTCAGGAAAGAGCTAGATACGTTGTTACAAAAGAGTTGACAGAGGCATTTTGCTAATGACTCTTCGTATATAGAAGCGTTTGCATTGAATTGAGGGAATTTTTGATTGAACCCGACGTTGTTGGCTTGTGAGA